CCGATTATTTACGCAAGAAATTGTATGTAACTTTTTTGACATCTGCCAACTTTTTTCGTATTTCAAGGATTGATTGCTGTACTCTTCATAAACTTCGATTATTGTTTATTTCGTCAAACGTGAGCGATTGTCCCTAAGCTATACATTGTGACAAAAAATTACCAGTAATTGTAAACAAAACGCAAAATATTTAATTATTTATCAATATTATCAAATTTATTTTGTCGTCTTCAAAGTAATCCCCACCAGATGTAATACACTTTTGCCAACGATTTTTTCAAGTCCTCAAAACACTTTTCGTAAGCAATTTTTGGGATGACCTTTAGCTCCTTCAACGATTTTGTTTTATCTCTTCGATCAACTAAAAACAGGTTCCATTTCGATGATTGTTGACTCTTTAGAGTGTCAAACTCATAAACCCATGTCTCAACGGCAGTTCAAATGCTCTCCATGAAAGTGTGGGATCGGAATTCGCACGATCAAGCATATCCAAAGGAACTTGTTTACGAGACGAGCGTATCATACCCGAAATATCCACCAAAATCATTCGAACGAGACATTTGATCCGTCGACAGTCTTTGAGGCCTTTGTACACTCGTAGGCTTGTGTTTTTGATAAAACTGAAACACCGTAAGCCTTTTCCAACTTTCTCAACGATGTCCGCAACGCACTACTGAGGTGTACTCACTTTAAGCAGCTGCTGGAAAAATACTGGTTGACAAATCGCGCTCATATTTATCTTAGTAATTAACTACAGTCCAACCAACTTAGTAAAATACATTTTTTTTCATACAAAATTCTCGGAGAATTTTATTACAATTTCCGTGTGCTTTTTTGTCACAATGTACTAAAGAAAACGGAATACTGAAGCTATAAAACTCCGAAGATGCATTGAATGCAAATCAAATAACTTGATGACGCTAAAATAAAGCACACTTATCCATAAAGCGCAGAAATAAGTCATATAACGGGTATATTCTATGGTATGTTTTCTCTTCCAGTTACTATTAATACAAAGATGACAGAGTCAGAAAACAGTCAAGTATATAAAGTAAAGTATATTAAAAATCAGAAGCAATTGTATTAGGGCGATGAAGGTGTGCTAACTGGTGACGCGAGGTGTACATGCTTTTATTAAAAAAAAAAAACATTGTTTTTTTCATTTTTATTTATTTTTATT